GAGACTATGACAGAGCTTTGCCAGAAAGGTCGACAAGGCTGTTGTAGGTAGGGGCAGCGAGCCGGAGAGAATATCGGATTAATGTAGAGAAAAACACCAATGCAGATTTGATGGATTAAATGGCCCGTTTCTGTACAGTAACAGTGTACACACTCCTGACATCAAAGGCGTTATGTAAATGTAAATTGTATTGTGTGACTCGATGTGCTCTGAGATACATCGATCCAAAACCGTTGAAAGGTACAGTGAGGAGATACGTTTTCACAGCAATAACTGGTCATGTATCACATAGTTGTGGTTGCACACATAACCAACAGAGATCCATACTGATGATAGTTCTTAAAGCAAAGTTCCACTTAATGAAAAGCTAAACAGCCACATATATACAGAGGGCAGCAAACAAAGCTGTTAAATGTGATGCATAATCTATCAGCAAATGGTTACAGTTTCGGGTCAGACATCAGGAAGTTTCTCTTTATCCAGAGGATAATTAATGCCAAACAGGTTGCCAGAAAAGGTGGTCGAGATCTCATTTAAAAAAAGCTTAAATGAAGCTCATGCTATCATGGGAAGATGGTAAATAATAATCCTTGCATTTGATATCGCGCCTTATCACATCGTTGATATGTCTCATAGCACTTCACAGAATATACTGTAAAGAAAACTGACTGTACACTTCATGAGCAAAACACAGCAGAATTCTCTGGGCCACCACTACTGAACCCAGATTTATGCTGCGGTTTGCAGTAAATTGTCGCAAATGCTTGGTATAAACAGAACATGAATTACTAACGAAGGTTTAATCGACTTGTGTTGACAGCATCAAGCACCACTCTTCTCCTCTGGATTCCTGGCTCGGTGTCTGGAACTCTGGAGAACAGTAGCGATTGATGTTATTGGTGCAGAAATTCCATGTAATGTTTCTTGCTTGGGGGGGAGGTGGGGGGAGAGGGGAGAAAGAGAAATAAATCTCCTTTTAAAGTGATGTAAAGCCTAGTTATACTGTAGTCTAATGTGTCGGCTTCTTGAAATCCTACAAGTATCTCATTCTTTACGCAAACAGCCACCGCACTTCAGAAATTTGGAGACTCGGTAATATTCTCTTTATCCACATGCCTCTGTTTACCTCGCAGTAAGTAGGAACCCAATTGTTAGTCGATTGGCGGATCGCTTTTCTGGGAGTAATAATTTTTTTAAAAACAAAATAATAATAATAAATTGGACACTTCAATCCACGACTGTTTGTGTGACACTGCAAATGGCTGCCGCATTTTGCCCACAAAAATATACAGTCAATTCACTTTACAGTATGTCTGTGAATTCAGGGCTTTTTCCATCTTCTTTGAAATAAATCTGTCTAAAATCTTGTGACTGAAATAGAATAAAATAGTGACTACATTTTGAATCCAATTCTTTGAGACGTCTCGAAGACATGAAAAGGGACTATATCAAATGCAACGATTATTATTATTATCATTGTCCTGTGATAGCTGATGAGTATTCAGTTGAACTGAGGTATGTGTATAAGTCAATGTTTTATCTGGTTCATGGATGCCTTTGAGTAACAACAAAATTACATTTGCATAGCGGCATTCACATTGGAAGGACGTCCCAAGGCGCTGGACAATTAGTGTTTCGTAAACCCAATGACCTTTCTCGTTTGTGGGGAAACAGTATTAAACACCATCAACTTGCTGTAATTTGCTTCTCTTGAAAACCACTGATCGAACAAAAAAGCATCTTTTACGGTCGGGAGATGTCCCAAAGCGCTTCACAGGATATACTGTAAAGTGCAGATAGCTAACACTGACTGTACCATCCCAGCAAAGCAATCATGCTCCCAGCACACTGTAAATCACAAGGCTTCATTTCCCATTAATTTCAGGTAATGGACTGCTTACAAGACAGCATTTGTCTGTGAATTCAAGGCTTTTTCCATCTTCTTTGAAATAAATCTGTCTAAAATCTTGTGACTAAAATAGAATAAAATAGTGACTACATTTTGAATCCAATTATTTTGGCGTTGAATCTTTCTTCTGCACATTCTTCTTTCCTTTGTCCACTCACACCTCCATCCACAAATTATTTTTTAAATATATATATAAAATGAGGCAGAATGGCCCACCAGAAATGACAGGATTGGACACGAGATGAAGTCCCTGCCCTCTGAAACAGTCAAGAAGTGAACCACATGATAGAAAAGGTTCAGCAAATTCCAACAAGATTACGTTATGGGATTTTACAACATATGGTACTCACCATGGCAAAATACAAATTGCTCTGAAGTGTTAATCCACAGTTAAACATCAGAATCAGCTATGGAGGTGCACAGTAATCCGGATGCTTCATTTGGGAACCTTTCCTGGGCTTCCACTGTAACATCCGTTGGAACTGAAAGTATTTAGGCACGGATTCAAGTAGATCGGATGGCAAAGCTGTGGCCAGATGTTTCCTACTGTAACTTACTTATTAGCAGAGTAAAGTGCGATAGAACCATTCATTATTAGGTGATCCACACAGCAGTTATAATAATAATAACAATCCTTGCATTTGATATCGGCCTTATCACGTCTTCGAGATGTCTCAAAGCGCTTCACAGAATATACTGTAAAGTGGATATACTGTATATTTTGCGGGTGAAACGCGGCAGCCAATTGCGCACAGAACAGCATTAATAAATTTGATATAGCACATTGTCGGAACATCTCCCTTTATTGCATTTTTTATTATTATTTCTCATTTAATTATGGATAATTGAAACACGACTGTTTGTGGGACATTGCTGTGTGCAATTCGCTGCTGCGTTTCGCCCAAAATACAAAATACACAATCCACTTTACAATATATTCTGGGAAGCGCTTTGAGACATCTCAACAACATGATAAGGTGCTAGATCAAATGCAATGATTATTATTATCTCAAAGCGCTTTGCAAGTTTTTACTGTAAAGTGTAGTGAGTGTCGATTTGAGACAGCTGAACATAACAGCCAATTTGCACGCAGCAATGCCCCATAAACAACCATGAAGTGAATGACCAATTTTATCTGGATGATTTTGGGCCAGTTACCGGGAAAAATTCCCTCTTCCATGGGATCAGGCAGAGAGAGCCTTGTTTTAATGTCTCACTGGAGAGACATTACCGCCTACATTGTGGTATCAGACTAGACTTTGCGCTGAAAGTCCTCATGTGAGATATGAGGCTTTAACCCACAATCTTCTGACTCAAGTTAGTTCAAGCCTTGGCTAATGCTCTTCGGAACCAAGATGAACGGGGTGCGTCCCTCCAGGGAGAGTCCGCATTCCATTCCAGACATGGGAAAATTTCCACGATCAGGTGGTCTCACATATGTGGAAGGAACTCTCAGTCTGAATTGGATTCTCTTAAGCATGGTGGTGGGTTTCCGAGTGTGTCAAGAGAGATCCGGCTGGCCAAACTAAGATAAATCAAGTCCCTTCCACAATTGACACGATAACAGTGAACCTCTTTCACAGGAGAAGGAAGAAACTTAACCGATATTTGTCACAAACCATTGAATCAATACAATCTCAGAATTTTCAACACGCAGGAAGCCATATAACCAGTTGTGCTTATCGGGGCTAACAGTACCTCACTGAAGCAAATATTAATGCTTTGAGGACTGCAAGGCATCTTTCTTGTTTTGCAGAAATACACATGTTGCATCACAAATTATTTTGCAATCTCTTAAAAAACAAGCCGAATATTAAGAACAGCTGGATCTATGTTTAGGTTCTGAGCCAACATTAACTTTGTATGAATATAAAACCTCTGGCTAGAGGGTTACTTAAAACTATAGTTTTGCTGTGAGGCTGACGTCAAGGTCACTTCAGAGTTGAAACTATGCAGGAATCATTCCAGCACAACTTGGAATCGAAACACCAAACACCAAACCCAAGGCTCAAATCTTGGACTAGCAAATTAAAATAGCACCAGCATTTGTTTTACTATAATTTCACACCATCACAGTCCTTCTTCACTTACCACCACCAACAAAGAGGAACAACAAAAACTTGCATTTATATAGCCCTCCTCATGCAAGGTAGGATCTCAGAGCGTTGACAGTGGTGGAGCACGACCCTGAGCCAGGTTCAGGGGACAGTTGACCTTAGGCACGGTTGAAGAAGAAGGATGTGGAAGGTGGAGGGACCGAGGGAGAGAGTTCCAGATTTTTTCTCAACCTCCATCTATCTATACACTGATCGTCATGCTAGGTATTGCTGAAGAGAGGAAATCCGAAGAGTGCAATAGCAGATGATAATAAGATGATCAGAGAGAGAGGGAGATACTAAGGCATGAAGGGGTTTATAGGTGAGGACCTTGGTGTCAATCCATTAGGTACCAGGGAACCATTGGAGGCTGGCGAGAAATGGGGTGATGGGCGTGTGCAGTTTGGTGCTGAAGATGAGTTTTGAATGAGCTCGAGCCTGTCGGTGATGGAAATAGGGAACTACACTGATTGCTTTACTGATTATGCAAGCATTCCCTTGCAATGGGTTTTGAAGCCCTCTTGTTTGTACTGGAACACTACAGAGGCACCAACTGATTAATAATCTATGACACTTGATCTTTTTGAGTTTCGGATCGCACAGAACAACAGTCACATTGGAAATGAAACTCATTTTCACATCCTTTGCGTAATCATCACAGCGAACTTTGTTAATTAGCCAATGCTTCTTTAGATCATAGAACTAACCAACAGTGCTTACAGTAACCCACGGCAATGAAACCTCATACACCACCACAATTGCATCTAACATTAATTCAGTCCCACTGAGAAGGTTGGTAACGTGCTGGGGACCAAAGTGTTCAAGTCTCTCCTGACCTTGTGCCGTGTGATAACTTTATGAATCAAACCATCAAACTCAACTCTTAAAATGACTTTCACCTCACACAGGAATACGACATGGTTACAATTCCCCAAAAGGTTAATCGGGCACTGACGTTCAGGACAAGGTCACAAGAATACGCAGCTTGAACTTACCCAGTGGTGATATCGTCATCATTCATTGTCTTGCCAATCAAATCGCTGTCACTCATGTAGCCGGACATATCACCACTGATGGATTTCAGGTCCACATCATCAGTGTCCAGGGAATCCAAGTCCAGATGAGCAATGTTACACGATTTGCTGGAGCTCCGCATGGGCATGGTGTGCGAGTAGTGAGAGGTGTCCCCACGGACAAACCAGCCGGAATTTCCTCCAGATTGGCAGCCGCTGCCCACAGAGGGTGCGTCGCCCGCCTGAAGCCGCGGACTTGCTTGGCCGTACCTCCAGGACAGCGGTGACGATCTGTTGGACAAACTTGTGCCACGCCCTCTGCCGTTCAGCTCAGCGGATATATCGCTTTCGAAGGTCGATTCTAAAACACTGCGGAGTAAAGGTAGGAAATTAATTCGATTTCATTCTTAAATAATAGATTCTCCAGTTGTTACATAGAAAATAAAAACAAACACAAGGAGGGAGTTTCTGGATGTCGCTGCAATTAGCTAAGGCACTTAAGATTATGTTATACCGTTGTGGCCACTGGGTTTGGTTCCCAGGTCTGGACAACAACAACAAACTTCCACAGGGATTTCATGAAGAACGAGGGTGAGCCACAACCACCAGAAAAACATTTATATAGCACCTTCACGTGGGATAGCGTCTCGGAGCGCAGAAAATGTTGGTGACCTAACATTGGCAGGAAGAGTGCTTGACGGCAGGACAGTTGATTCATTAAAAAAACAGCTTGATGTTGTGATGAGGGGGATGGACAGTAGGCTGGGTGTTCTGGAGGATGAGATAGGATGGGCCGAAAGGATCTTCTTCATCTTGTGACTTTAATGTTAACTGAAAACTGCTGGCCTGACAATCCTGCTTCTAAGTGCATGGTTCTCCTACAAAGTATTCAGTCGTTGCACTTTACAGCACGTCTTATGAAGGCGCTTTGAGATTTCCTCTTGACGTAAAAGCCGCTACATCAAATGTAAGTATTAATGTTGCTGGACCCGGATATTCATCCTGCTGTGTAGAAAGTCAACTAATGGCACATTTGATGTCTTGATTTCTTCAGCAAGTGACTCTATATCTATTTCGGAATGTGGAGTTTGCCATTAATATCATGCAAGTAAAGGATTATAAGTAAATGTTAATGTCGAGTCTGTTGTTTGGGGCTGACGTGAAATTAGTGTAAAAATTATCACCACTCAATAATCAGGCCCTTCAGCGGAGCAAATAAAACCCCACACACAGATGGCTTGCAATCAGTCCCTGGGGCGATCGATCGACTGGCACTAATGCTGTACTGTAGAGCTGATGAACTGTGAAGAAATCAAGCAAATGCTTTGGCCAACTTCTCTCCAGCATACTGTTCACACCCACCCAGTCGCCTGTTCACTGATCAAACTGGGAAAATTTGAGTCTATGAACGTGACTTACAGTTACATATAAGGTTACAAACACACACATATATATACCACTGTATATAGAGTAGCTGACACTCTTTGGTTTTGTAACTCTACAATGCAAACATTCCCTCTTTCTTTTACAAGATTACAACTTGCACTGATATAAGGGCTCTTCACGTGAGGGAGCATCGCACAGAGCTGACGTACACAAACCTGCCAGTATTTCAAGGGCATAAATGCATGATAATACTTGGGACATATGCTGGAGTTTGCAAATAGGAGGGCTTGGGGGAAGGGAGTATCCCTTAGAAACAAGGTTGGTTGGCTAGCTGCACCAATCAAAGTGGTCAAGTCTGTATGCTTAATGCCTTTTAATTCCCTTCGTAGCACACAGTCAGGAGTCAAGAATACGGCCAACAAAAGGTTACGCATTATTCTGTCCCATCCTCAAGCATAAAACGGGTGTTGGAAGTGTTGAAATTAAATGTATGGATTAATTGTGTCCTGCACAGGCCCTAAACAGCAATTAGCACATGAAAGGAGGTTTCGGCTTGATTGCACTTAAATGCTGACTCGTCAGGAACAGGAAAAACTGGAGCCTTGGCATTTAGAATAGTGACGGTTTCAAGTATAAAGGGGATGTGAATGCTGCACAATTCCCAAGTGTTGCAAAGGGAGTTATCTATATTCTACATTGACTGGTGCCCTTACTTTGCAAAGGAATCAGTTTGCCTACAAATACACAGGCGCTACACATTATCGTATATCCTGTGAAGCAACTTGAGATGTCTTACTGACATGAGAGGTGCTGTATCAAACGCAAGGATTATAAATCAATCCTTGCTTACCATGCTGGGATGGGCCACCTTGGGAGTGGATGTCCTCTGTAGGATTTCCCCTCATACCACAGGGGTAAAGAGGGAGCAACAGACTGAGTGCATTCGTGCCATCACTCGAGTGGAAGATTCGCAGTTAGTGCAAGCAGAGTCTCTAAAGCAGTACATAAAGTACAAAACACATTGGAAAGAACTGAGATCAACAGCGCAAGCAACAGACATTTTACAATAATAATAGTCCGTTCATTTGACATAGCGCCTTATCACATTGTTGAGACATCTCAAAGCGCTTCACAGGATAGTCTGCAAAGTGCAGTGACTGCATATTATTTAGTGTTACGGACTAATTCAGCAAAATACATTTAAATTAATAAAAAACTGTTTAATTTGCCTTTTTTTCACGCTGCACACAAATGAATAATCGTTTCGTAATCTAAACTGGCTTAAACGTGTGGGCGAGTGGGATAAGATTTCTTTGTGAACCGCTCTTTGAATTGACAAGCTGAAAGCTGAGTTGGCTGAAGGCTACACGCCCCCCGAGCGCATCCAAACCAATAGCTCAGCTGAGAACTGATGCAACTCTGGGCAGAGATCGCTCGCTTGGCAGACTTGACCATTTGCCAATGCTGGAATTTAAACCAACTACACCCGGCAATGTGATGTTCCACAAATCTGTAACACACTTACATATAGTGTGCAAGAAACATTCCAAAAGCTGAGAAATTGGTAACTAGCCCCTGTGGTCGTACTTTTAGTTTTGAAGCACAAATACGTACCGTGCCAAATTCTCTACTGAGCTTCATTGGTGCTATCAGTTGTGAATTAAGATTGTAATCGAAAACAAAAGTTAATAATAATAATCCTTGAAGTTGATATCACACAAACAGCCGTGAAGTGAATGATCATTCCTATCTTGGGGCCAGGACGTTGTGGCCAGGACGTTAGGCAAACCTCCCTTTTCGTTTCAAATAGTGCCAGGGGATCTTTAAACGTGTACCTGCATAGGACCTTGGCTTTAACAGTTCATCTGACGGATGGTGCCTCTGACAATACAGAGCTCTCCCACCTTGCACTGTGGTATTAGCCTAGACTTTGAACTCACCAAAGTCCCGAGGTGGAGCTTGAACCCACAACCTTCTGACTTGCGGCTAACCCATCAGCCTGGCTGACACCAAAGTTACGAAAAGAGAAAATTCTATAAGAGAATTCTATCTATATTCTATCTGAATCTAATCTTTCATACACAAAATAAAGGGAATGGAGAACATTTTCCTTGAACAGTCTTTTGGAGGGAAGGCTTGGGTCAATTGTGGAAATGCTCTGCAGAAAAATTATTTTGTCAAGTCATACAATTCTGCCTCAAGCAATTTGAAGTAATATCTTGTTAGTTTGCTTGCCTGCGCTCACTTGACTCATCAATAGCATCTCAGAGGCAAAGTCTCCCGCCTTTAACCAAGATAGACTTTTTTTCCCCTAACAATGGCTAACATCAACAACAAATTACAATTTATAGCACGTTTCACATCGTGAGGACATCCCGGGAAAAACAGTTGAACACTGTTCACATTTTGTGACAGGGGAGAGCATCAGTAATCTCCTCCTGGAATTAAGGTCTGAAATATGATCTGTGGCCGAATTAAATGTCCACAAGCACAATCAGACGAGACACAACACCTAAAAAAGTCCCAGACTATGTTGACCTCAATTGAAGTCCTTTAATTATAAATCTGAATGAAGGGAATTGCAAGTTGTCGCTGTTGTTTTATGTGAGTGATTTGCTCACATGAGCTTTAAACACAATTTGCCCAAAATAATAACAATAATCCTTGCATTTGATATAGCGCCTTATCGTGTCTTTGAGATGTCTCAAAGCGCTTCACAGGATATACTGTAAAGTGAATTGACTGTATATTTTGTCAATTTAAAATAGCTGAAATGACTCCAACAGAGGAGAAAACTTACACCCTGTCAATTGGTCTAATTCGAGCTATAGTCTGTACCTCAACTAAATTATCCCCTCATTAAATATTATATGATATAATTTCCAAAGAGGAATTCCACATTACGGACTCGGAAGCCATTAATCTTGTTGGCAATTTGACCTCGAGAATTGCTGAACGTAAATGAATAAAATAAGTGAACCCGGATCAGAAAGCAGAAGAACAGTCTGGAGATCTAATAAAGGAGATTCAAAGACTCTTCAACATTACACAGTGGAGACAAGCACAATACTAATTACTTTTATAATCCTCTTAGGGTTTTCTGTGAAATGTACTTCAAAATGACCTTTTCCTTTTGTATCTAAACGCAAAGAATTCCACGCCAATGTAATCACGCCACGATGTCACGATATGTCAGTCAATTTCCCCGTCTTCCCTGAAGAAGGATCACAAAACTATTATTTTCACATCAAAACTACTGTCTAGCTGCCAGTTCTGAAGACTGAGTCACCCTGAAATGTCTGCTGGTGCGGTCATTTCTGCACTTTCAAAGGCCTATAATTTGTTATTTTCCTGTAATTTCAGCACTCTGGGACGTCTTTCTGACGTGAAGGGTGCTATACAAGTGTAATTTGTTGTTGCTGTTGTTGTTACGATGGAGCTGTATGTCATCAGTCAATCTCAGTATTGAAAACAATAAAAACATTTGTAATGAACACCAAGTTTTCAACCAGATTTCAAAGGAGGAGCTTTTTTTTGCTGTAAAATTAAATAAAGGTAAAATACAGGAATCTCAATCGCTGCCATCAACAGTTACGTTACATGACACATCAAATAATAATAATACTAATCCTTGCATTTGATATAGCGCCTTATCACGTCTTCGAGGCGTCTTAAAGTGCTTCATGGAATATACTTCAAAGTGAATTGACAGCAATGCGTAGGACTGGGGGGGAGAAGGGAATCTTCACTTGAAGTCAAAGAACAAAGGATGACACGGTTAACCATATCCGCTGTCTCACCTCTAAAGTAAACCTTGGTTGATTTGAGAGGGAAATATCAGTTGAAAATGAACATTGCATTTCCTTCAGGTTGGTATCCTTCACTCATCTGTACAAATTTTTATTCTGGGCAATAGCACAACTAATTCTCTGGCCTTGTCTGGTTTAATTTGGCTCTCGGCTCATCAGTAGCATCTCAGACGTAATGTCTCCCACGTATGACGAAGATAGAACTGTGTTTTTTTTCCCCCTAGCAATAAAATTACAGGGGAAAGAATTGAACACTGTTCACATATGTGACAGGGGAGAGCACCAGTGGAGGGAGGGTCATTGAGAATTAATAATAATAATCCTTGCATTTGATATAGCGCGATATCATGTCTTCTGGACATCTCAAAGCGCTTCACAGAATATACTGTAAAGTGAATTGTTTAAAGTGTGTTCTCGGGGTGAAACGTGACAGCCAACTGCGCACAGCACTGTCCAACAAACGGTCGTGGATTGAGTGACCATATTATAATTTTTGTTTCTTATTTTTTGGAGGGATTATTACCCCTGGAAAAGTGATCCGCCAATCGTCCAGCAACCGGGTTCCTATTTACTTCTAGGTAAACAGAGGCGTGTAGAGTAAGGAAACATGCCCAACGTTTTGCCCTGATGGGAATCGCACTCAGGTCCTCTCGCTTGCGAGGCAAGTGCTCTAACCAATAAGCTGCACGACTGCACGGCCTGAATTAAGGCCTGAATTATGATCTGTGGCCCAATTAAAACGACCGCAAGCAAAATACTGTAATTCAGATGAGGCGTAACACCTGAAATAGTAAACGACTATGTTTACCTCAATTAAAGTATTTCATTATAAATCTGCATAATTATAAGCAATGGAGTATTAAAAAAGAATCTAACTAATGAAATGATCAGGCACAATATTTTATGAACCTGTACTGTGTGACTGAGTTATGCTTAAGATAAAGCTCTTTAAAATTAATCAGTAGCAAATAAAGACGTGATTTTGTTTCTAACTGACATAAAAGATTAAACAGCGCGATATTAGATTGTTGTAGGATGCAATATGGTTTGATGTGCTTTCTCTGCCAGCAAATGTCAGCTGATTTTTCTTTTAACCAGCACAGGATAAATGAATGGGGGGTGGGGGTGGTGGGGTGGCAGAACAGACTCAGAACACAGACAGGTTGCTCTGAAGGTTTCACACCAATGCAGGTCCCATAACTAGTGTGCCAGACATCAATTATCCTCGCACAGACTGAATCAATAAAAGACAGCAGAGAGGATCTCTCGCGGCTGAATCAATTTACAACAAAGTCACAAGATCACAAGATTCGTTCTGATGAAGAAGGCCCTTTGGGCTCATTTCATCTCATAGCTGCCTCGCTGTCGTCCCATCACAGCATCAAGCTGCGTATTTTTTTTAAGAAAATGCGTTCAGCATCCTGACCTCAAGCACCCTGCCTAGCAACCTGTTCCAGTCGTTAATTACCCTCTGGGTAAAGAAACACTTTCTGGTGTCTGTCCCAAATTTGCTCTTTGCAATTCTAAACCTCCAGCACTCTCGCCTGGAACATCTGCACGCGGGTTAACATTACATCGTCCTCTGAATCTGTGTTAACAATCGAAAGATATTCCTTTGCTGCTCCTGCAACGGGCAAATGGACGCATGTGACACCAACACTTTTGAGCAAGGTTATGGTTTGTTGACTGACGGGACACGACTGTAAAATGTGACAAAGCTGTTTTGATTTCAAACCTTTATGCAACGCTTTGTCCTGTGGATTGCATATTGTAAATGGATTACAGAATAATACATTTATCATTTCACATTGCTTCGGGTTATAAATGCAGTACATCCAGAACCATGTTTCTCACCATAAATCCCTGCAGATTAAAATCCAATGGTTCCAATTGAATGTGGCACAAATGTACTCTTTCAGTGAAAATGCCATCATACATCAACTAAATTAAGGATTCTGGCCATAGATGTTGGGTATATATTAAAAAAACACCATCAGAATAAGATACATGTGGAGTCCTGTAGCTCAGTGGTTAGAGCACTCGCTTTGCAAGCGAGAGACCTGAGTTCAATTCCAGGCAGAGGGCGAGACCTTGGGCAAGTTTGCTTACTCCACACAGAGCCTAATAATAATCACTCCAAAACCAAAAACAATAATAAATTGGTCATTTTCAATCTACGACTGTTTGTGGGACATTGCTGTGCGCAATTGGCTGCCGCGTTCGTCCACAAATATACAGTCAATTCACTTTACAGTGTGTTCTGTGAAGCGCTTTGGGACGTCCTCCTGACGTGAAAAGCGCTATATCAAATGCAAGGATTATTATTATTATTATTAATATTATTATTATTATTATTATTATTATTATTATTATTATTATTATTATTATTATTATGCCTAGCAGCAAGCCAGGTTCAGTGTTCAATGGCTAAAAGTCAGTGTATTTCATTTATATTTGATAAAATTGTTCAACAGTGCAAACAAAGTCACATCAATGTTGTAGCTTCATCCTTGTGGAGATTACATGATTCAATATAAAATCTCACACAAAAAGCGCACGCTTTTGGTCAGTAAAAATAATGAAACAAAACGAAATTCATACCTATGGGTTATCTGGGATCCCCTCAGACTCGACATGGTGTCTTCCAGGTTCTGTCGAAGATCGACTATATTCTGAACAGTTCTCTTTCGTTGTGTCTCTGGATCTTTTAAAATCAAAAGAGGAAAGGCGCAAAGTTATACAGAGGAACTCATTACATCTGCTGAAGTTCTAATTTCCACAAAACAGTCTGCAGAGCATCACATTTAGCCAAATGTAAACCACGTTCATTTTGGGGGGACAAATATATTTGAGGTGTAGAAAAGGAGGTATTGCTGAGAAAAGGAAGACCTTTCAAAAACTGGTCAGAGCTGGATGGATTTAAGCAAGTCTTTTCTTCAATGCTCGATCAAGATTCAGTGAATGGACTGAAGTGTCGCAATAGTGATTTCCACTCAAGTTGTTAAAGGTAAGCTTGGGTTTGAACGATAGCTCTTAATGCTGTTATATTGGATTCAAAGTACTTACTAAAACACTTCCAACTTCTGCAACAGGTTGCATCAGACAGACAGATAGACAGACAGATAGACAGACAGACAGACACTCATTTTTAATCAGTCGAGAAAATTAACATTGATAAATAAAGGAACAGCTTGTGATCTTTTCCTTTTGTCCACCATTTTATAACACTCAGGGAGAACCTCAGAGGAAATGGAAAGAAACATCTAGTTGGCCTTGGAGCAGCTGAAGGAGCCAAGAGACAGACTCTCAGCCAGAGGATCAGGGGTTTGAAACCACAAACTTGCCTGTCACTTGGATTCATTTGCTGTCCAAACTGCTTAAGTTTGGGCAGTTCTGACCCTGGCTCCGGGCCAAAGTGCAATGTTGAGCACAAGGGAGGAACAACAAATGACTGACTCCCAACATTTTACTCTGCTTTAAACATTGTGACTCATTGTCCTAGAACAAAGCAGCAGAATTGCCAACAGTTACTTAGCTGTTTGCAATGACTGCATCTGTTTATGAGGATATACATGTTGTTGAAGATGGATTTTTTAAAAGAAACACGGGGAGTTTTTGCAAATGTTCAGGAAATAAACCAGATAACTTATTAATACAAGATGCCTTCCTGCACGAATCACGTTGATCACTGGACATTGTGTTATAATACTTGACCATATTATCACGCCACAAAATGTAGCCAACCCTCAAAAATACCAGTTACATGTAGAACAGTGAGAATCGTTTTCCAACTGGTTACAAAATCAAACTATGTTAAATGTCGTATAAAATTAATGACATTTGAGCTACAGAACCACTCAGCTACAGAACCCATCACCGTGGAGTATAATAATCCCTCAAGAAAAAAAAGGCAATAATAATTTGGTTACTCAATCCATGACTGTTTGTGGGACACTGCTGTGCGCAATTGGCTGCCGTGTTTCGCCCACAAATATACAGTCAATTGATTTTACAGTATATTCTGTGAAGCGCTTTGAGACGTCTAGAAGACGTGAAAGGCACTATATCAAATGCAAGGATTATTAAGGATTATCACTATTTAATTGTATGAACCGAATTGCCCATCGTGAGGTGAGTTTTTAGCCGCTTTGCTTTGCTGTGCCTTCTGGCACTTTCTTTCCCAAAACTCTCCATCCTCGTCCCCTCCATCTCAGCTTTGAAATCCAGTCTTATAAAAACTCTCTTTGATTTTGCTTCCGGTCACCTACCCCCATATCCCTGCAGTCTATCACCCAACTCAAGCTCCCAGTCAGTCTTTGCAAAATGTTTTTAGACATCCTTCCTGCACGAACTGCATGATAAAAGTGTAAATTGTTGTTGCAAAACCACATTTTTTTTAGTCTTATAAAATCTACTAAAGTTAGAGTTCAGTGGGGTGAAATTTCCCACATATCACCACTTGATCTTGTTCTTTTTTTGGTCAGTCGGATGCGGAAACCCATCAGCATGGGTGTGATCAGCTAAAACCATAGCATAGCTTGCCAATGAAACAAAAACAGAGAGAGCTGGGAAACTCAGCAGGTCAGGCAGCATCTATGGAGAGAGTGTCAACGTTTCGGGTCCACGACCCTTCGTCAGAACAGAGTTCTGCTGAGTCTTCCCAGCTCTCTCTGTTTTTGTTTCAGATTTCAGGCATCTGCAGTATTTTGTAGCTTGCCATTGATATCACTGTCTGGTACGCTTTCCAGCTAGGACCACCCTACCTGTTAGGGGTTTGACTTGCAGGCTTAACAGGAGCTGAGCGAGAAGATTCCCTGCCCCCTATGACTGGAGGAGGTTAAGGGGCAATATGATCGAGGAGTTTAAAATAATGAAAGCAATTGACAAGCTGGATAAATGGTGACTTCCTCTCACAGAGCAATATCAAACAAAGGAACATATTCAGTAAATGAGATCAGATGGCAATTCTTTACACAGAAGGCTGTGAGCTTGTGAAATGCACCACCCCAGGCTTTGAGGTCTGGGAGGTCAATTATACCAATGACTGTTTGTAATCCAGACCAACTTTGACTGACGAGTGCTCTTATTGGAAGGGTTTCTAATCTTGTCGCCAAGTTTAACCACCATAGCTCATGCGGCGATGTTTCATCATATCAGAATCTAACTCATATCATGAATACTCATACCAATGTTAGATCAGTTTGACCCACAAAATATGTAGTCAATTAATTCACTTTACAGTATATTCTGTGAAGCGCTTTGAGACATCTTAAAGACTGATAAGGCGCTGTATCAAATGCAAGGATTATTATTATTATAGATTCTTGTATGGTCAATACAGGGGTCATTCACAAATATATCATTGCTCTACTTCATAGTAAAATCCTGTGAAACACTTTGGGGTGTCCTCCCAACATGAAAAGCGCTGTATCAAATGCAGGGATTATTATTATTATTATTATTCAGACAGACTTTTCGAGGAACAACATCTCCATTACATAATCGCTGAGCGTCATCCTTTATTACGTTTTGTTTAACCTCGGGGTATGTTTAGTTTCTAATACTGAAATCCAGTATTATGGTATAAGACCAAAAGTGTTTTTGATGTGAACAATGAGACTGTACAAGTTGCTGGTAATCACTATACAGGCAGGAGTAATATACTCATTTAATTAACACTGGCAGGGATGTTACAGTACCTATAAATATTAATTTCAGAGTCAGATTACTGTACACAACTGGAATCATTTTATCCTTTCCTTCACCTTGCATTTGTAAGGAATTGACTGCTGAATATCTGAAGCAAACCTTAAAATATAAACATTCCCTTAAACATTAAACACATTTAGCATTTTAAGCTCTAAAATAAGTGTAGTTATGCAGATATCACTTGCTTCATTCATGCATGCCTTTCAGAATTCTTCTTACACTGTTAATGACTTATTTTTACATCATTGCAGATGATACTAATATGAGGAATGCAATGTATATTTATATCATTGTACTGAGAAATGTTCCACCATATTTTTTATGACATTCCGTATAGGTTCGATCCATACATGTCACAACATTGTTTGTATGAACCACAAAACAACTCTTTCTGGGAATGCAAATTAAACAATATACAATTTCAATAATCTTTGCTCTCAAGGGAATTAGTGTATAATTGCAGCAAGTGTACTTTAAGTTTACTGCTTCTTAATCGTGATTTAATGCATAATATCAAACCAGCAAAACAGTGCTCTATAATAGTCTACCATTGTGCATTCTGAAACAAATCCCAACGTAACATATAATAATAATCGTTGCATTTGATATAGCGCCTTATCGCGTCTTAGAGACCTCTCAAAGCGCTTCATGTGTGGAACATCTGTATCAGCTCAGTCTGTCAATCAATCCCAGTTAATCTCATTATTTCCTAGTAATATGCACTGAGGAAGGTTGCATTCCTCTTGGCGGAAACAATCTTGTATCATTTAGTTCCCCACATATCAGAAACGTACATTCTGCAAAACCTTTTCGAAATACTGCATGCTAATTCTCCTCGAACATTTCCATTGTTAATTCTACTTTTCAGTGCAAGCGCAAAATACTATCTTGAGTTTCACGTTGATTTATTAATTTAGAGTACATAAGGGCAGCCAATGCATCAAACAACCATCATTCGAGTGTCTTTACCATTGGCTGATCAAGAATTTTATGGTGAATTTTAAGTACCAATGCCACATTTACAGGAAAGTATGATGATTGTCATCAGGGCCAACAAGCTATAGAGTCCAGCTGGGGCTATCTCATCTGGAACTGAGCTGGGATTTGAACTCAGGTCACGGCATTAAGAGGTCATACCCTTAAGCTACTACACCACCTGAGCTCTCACATGGTGAGTTTTGACCATATTAAGAGCCCAATACATAGCGGGTCATTCAAACAGAATTCTGGAGGAACAAGATCTCCGTTACACATTCACTCTGCTTCATCCTATTTCACTTCTCGTTTAACTGTTGAGCAAGTTTAGTTTCTCCCAGTGAAATCCAGGTGGAGTGTTATGATTACACTAAGTGGCTGGTTTCCACTCAGACCATTTGCACAGTGATAGGCATCAAACGCAATTTAAGGTCTTATTTAAAGAATTACGCATCTTCTTTCAAATAGTTTGCGCAGGAACTACCTTTTTTTTTAAAAAAAGGGAAATACGTCAATGAGACTTTAGCATATATATCAATGCTCAAAACTTTCCCCAGGTGCTAATGAAGTCTCCTATAATACACGGGAAACATTTACTGAATACTGCCAAAGTCATGTCAACCTAACCAACAATATTTTCCTTCCACCAATGGGTCTAATGAAATTGAAGCACCCAACATATTAACAAATTACCCAACCTCTGTTTCAGAATCATTATAAAGCTCTTCGGCTTCGAGAATTTTTTTCTCAGCAGAAATATTGATGCAGAATGAGGTCATGTAAAATAGAACAAATTGGTTATTCGAAGAGACTTCACAGAGTAGCTCAACCATATGTGCCCATTAAAGGGTAGAGTAGATATTATTCCTCTTTGTAGAGGATTTCATAAGCTTGCAATGTCACTGTGTTTGTGATTCATACTTAACAGATAAACATATGACAACGGGAGCGATCAATCACTTTTGTAACATTGTTCACAAGTGTTCGAATTGCAAATCTTGAATTAACGGAATTAGGCTGGAGGAAGGAAGAATGCTTTGTTTTTGCCTTGCAGCTGAAATTGGTGCAGTGTTCAGGCAAATACGAACTCAATTTAATAGATGCCTGCTGTATAATTATCTTCAAAGCAGGAACCCAATCAGAGGCATATTCTCTGCTCTGTCAGCTGAATGTGGTTTCCAGCTGCAACCAGAAACAGCTCAATTTTACACGTGAGATCGCCTCTGAATTTCAGCCCCCAAAATCGATTTGGAAACCGCTGTAATGGGTTTGGTTAATGTTTTTGGAATCACAGTTTGTGCAGTTCAACATTGCAGTTTATTTCAGTGATTAATATTACCATAAATGTTGAGGCAAGAAGGGATAACGATCAGTTTCTCTCCGAGACCAAAATTATGCTCCCTTTACTCGTGTACATGTGTGTGTGTCCGTGTGCGGTATTAAGAAAATTACATGGAAAGCTTCCATTTACAAATGTTAAAATACATCATTTTCCCCATTAGATCAGATTCTCTGCAAAAATGAATCCAGCTAATTTTAACATCAATAATAATCCATGCGTTTCATATAATGACCTATCACGTCAAGACATCTCCAAGCTCTTCACAAGATTTTCACAGTGACGTGCAGTGACTGCGTATTTGTAGGCGAACGAGGCAGCCGAGTTGCACACAGCAATGTCCCACAAACAGCCAAGAAGTGAATAACTTTTGAAAATTTAAATCTGGAGGACTTTTGGCCAGGACACGAGGAGAAACTCCATTCTCTTTTTGAATAGTGTCAAGGGATCTTTCACATCCAGCTGGTCCTTGCTGAATGCTTACCAAGTAGAATTAACATCAGGAACTCAATAAGAGATAGGATGACACGTCCAGGTGCGAGTTCACTCAATACATCCTCCAGGACGTCAAGCAGGAAGTGCATCCTTTTCCAACTGTCAGGTGCCCGAGTTATTGTTTCCTATCCTGGCCATGAGAGCGTTCACGCTGTCATTGCTTTCGCTGTCCGCCATGTCTCCTGCAGCTCACGGATGTTCTGCTGTTCAAATGTTTCAGTGTATGATTGATTGTAGCATGCTGCTTTGTATGGTCACCTGATACACCCGGTCACCTGGCCTCAATTGAACATTTTTACAGACCCTGCTTCAAGGCGTCCTTGAATCATTTCCTCAGCCCCCATTTTGCCTGCGGGCCAAATGGGTTTTGTTCTTCACTCGTGTGTGTGTGCGTGTGCGCGTGTGTGATGCGAGCCAGAGAAATGTCTGATCCACATTGGTTATATTTTCATCATGATACGTTCCATTCCTTAGAGATCTGCGCGGCAAGAATTTCATTGTAGGTTTCTCGTCTTCTCACGGAATCTGCACGATAGATCTCAAGTGTTTGAGCTGGGACCCGTCAAATCCTGCACATGACTCAAGTAAGCGGATCCACATTTTTTGCTGGGAGAATACAGCAGCAGTGTGCAGCTTGATCTTTGCTCCCTAGGGAACAGCGTGCTGCTTCTAAACTGTGTCGAGGAAGTTGTCCGCTTGCCAAGCTTTCGTTCTCGATTTGCCCAGCGCCTTTCGGTTGACTAATACGTTAGTATGTTGACTGACAGTACGCTGGCAAGTTTGACGGGAGAGAAACGGTTGATGCACCACTTCGGGCTTTGAAAGGTTGAAAAAGGTCGCCCTTTTATTTGCCTCTGTTCTTTTTTCCCTATATGTCGACAACTCAAGGGATTGGGAACTAAATCAATGTGCGCTACATTATAAACATCTGTCAGCCACAGAATGCATTGTAGATGTAAGACATAATGGTTTATGTGAGAGTGAGAAGAGTTCTCCATGTCTTCTTACTTCTGAAATTCTCTGAAACCATCCCTCCACCTTGCCCACTGCCCCTCCTTCTTTTTCTACATTTAAATCCCTGCTTAAGCTTTATCTCTTTGACTGCACCTACAGCCACCTCCCTCCACCTCCTCCCAACCCCGTCTCTCTTGCTCGGGCTCCACCCCCTCTCCATTCGGCAGCACCCCCATACACTATTGTACATGAAGGTCACTATATAAATGCAATTTGTTGTTGTTGACGTCGATAGGAACTTGCTATCCTGCAGAAGCACAACGATTTGACAAGAGAGATTCCTGCTTAATCCTTTTGTCATTGAGGAAAATAATTAAAACTTTCACCTGATAAACAGATATATAATCTCCAGGTTTTACTCCCAATCGAATAACATTATTACAATAATACTTGCATCTGATATAACGCTTTCATATTGCGAGGAGATCTCAAAGCACTTCACAGGGTATAGGGTACAGTGCAATGACTGTGTATTCTGCAGGAGAATGCAGCAGCCAGTTTTATCAATTTTATCTGGAAGATAGTTGGCCCGCACACTGGGTGAAATGCCCCTCTCTTTTTGAATAGTGCCATGGGATCTTTTAAACCCACCTGGACAGGCAGCTGGGAACTTGGTTCAACCTTATATTGCGAAGGGCGGCACCACCAATAAAGCAGTGCTTCCCCCAGTGCTGTATTGGAGTGACATCTTAGATCAGGTTGGTCTAAATCATGGTTGGCCTTTAGCACCCAAAAGGTTAGACCACCCCGGCCTAGATCACGAGTTCGAAGTTCCCAACGTGGGGCTTGAACCCACAACCTTCTGACTCAGAGGCGAGAGTGTTACCAACTGAGCTCGACTGACTGCAGCATTTATATACACATATAATCTTGGTGTTAGTCTGTGACGGAAATAGAGATGCCGTATAACTGCAATGATGACGACAACAACAAGCTCGCAATATGTAATGTCTCATCCGAGGGACCGAGTGATTCTATGTGGCCTCCGCTCCCTCTCCAACCATTGTTTGAAATCTCTGCAGCGTTATCATTTTGGTGTGAATTATGGCGAGCATCGCAAGGTATTTACTGGTTACCGACTTGAATGCTGAATCAACAGTGATTCAGTAACCGAAACAGATGAGTTCATACAGTATTCACAGCGAATATGTTTATTAGGACAGTGCCTCATGGTTCAACTACAGACATAAAACACTGCAGTCATTTAAGCAGTGAATCCAGACTGCATTCATACTGCATGCTGCAGAGTGTCAATCCTAAGGGGTTATGAACCTGCTGATGGGAGGTGCCTGCTTCAGCTACGCGCATGACAATTAAGATAAAACGGCAGAAATGGAAATTACAGTGTCAAGCATTAAATTAAACATTGAAACCTTGAAATCCCTGCTGAGATAATAAATCTGTATTAAGCAATCAATCATAAATGTCACATAAATATGTCCCGAACTACTGTCTCTTCCAAATCCTGCTGAATGTATCAAACAATGAGATTTATGTAACTGATGTATAAAGTACTCCAAAACCAGAGCATTTAGCTTTGTAAAGCAGCAAACTGTGCAGCTGTAGCCCAATCTACATCTATCTAGGTCACCTTTCACTCTCTCCTCCTTTACAATCTGCGCCTAAGATCATAATATTGATAAATCACAGCGAAACATAGCAAAATGATGTTTGTGTTTGCGCATGAGGGAAAATTATAATATTCTGTTGAGTATAACTGTTTTGCGTTCATTTACCATCCACTAACTCGTCCATCTCTCGATTTAGAAATAAAAAGCATTTCAGGATTATAGTAGCGATTATAGTGTAAATATTTGAAATCATTCACAATGAAATATTGCCATGTCTGTGCAATATTTCTTTGTAAATGATTTCAAATATTTATACAGTGCTCACTGGCCTCCAAGGACTGCAGTAGCATTTGTGGTCTACAATTGCAGCAATACAAATCAAAAGTTCTATATGATAATAAAGTTCTAATAGAAAGAAAATTAACATATCTTTATGCTCAGCATCAGAAACTTACAGAAAATCAATGGGTGAAGGGCGACAGAAATAGTAACATTCTAATAATCTTCCATCACACCAATGGATTACCCGCATTATACTCTTATTGATAAATAATTCTATATTGTACGAGCAGAAGGGAATACATAGGAAGGTTGACTGAAAATATTGTGGGTTCACTCCCACTGGGAAATTATTGCAAATCAAGTCAAAAGCACAGCATTTTCTCATTTAAAAAGGGGTAAGTTGTAAATTTTATCCAAATTCAACTGTTATCGGGCATCACATGGAATAGAATAATCTACACACATGGACAAACTAACCTTAAAGAGAAAAAAAAATTATATGTGGTTTTAATTTACTGCAAAACGAGGGGAAAACTGCAACATTACCCTCCCCCCATTGAACTTTAAATGTTTGAGCGACGATTTTGTCCAGAGCAAAATGGCCAATTATTGTCAACTGCCTAGAGCACAAAATTAGGCTTTAAAATATCCGAGGAAGACATTTAGCGTAGATGGGAATAGATTTTATTCTGCATTTCACAGTGGACCTATTCCTAAAACGAGCAATCGCTCCTGAAAAAAACCCACTGTAAAAAAAATCACGCAAATAGATAGTATGATTTTAACTGCTTAGCATCTCACAAAAGCTTGAGCGTGTATTGATGACCGAAGCTCAAGGTACAAATGCAGCAAGCTATCCCTGCCATAGTATTGCTGCACTGCATTAATAATTAGCGATTCTGACTGAGCCTGGGAATGCTATTAATACCTGCAATTGACATGCTTCTTAGCATTAATTACAACGGCTGATCATGAATGACAGCCCTTGGAATAGCCCTTCAACACAGGCACACAGCTGTGTGCTGAAGCACGTGACAATTCCCCCCGGTACTGAAAGGGTTACTGTTGTAAGGGAAATAATAATAATAATAATAGTCCTTGCGTTCGATATAGCGCATCTCCGAGGTGTCTCAAAGCGCTTCGCAGAATACACTGTAACATGAATTGGCTGTCTATTGAAATATTATATATTGAAACTGTTTGTCACAGTAATGACATGTTTTAGACAGTTAAGTGCAAGACTCACCGAGCATTTGACTAAACAGAAGCTGTTCTAGGTCCCCCAGCACTGTCACAACAAGCTCAGGATCCACCTTTAAATAAGTCTTTTCCTCTGGCTGCTGCTGCCCCTTCTCTGTCGCCTGAGTTTGCTTTTTACTAGCCTTTGCCTTGCTGGACAGAATTTCATCGTCGGACTTGCTCGCGTCCCCTACGCTGGCTTCGGTGGTTTTACTGAGAGGTTTGACTTCAGCCCAGGGTCCTCTGGGGATGCGGCTGGGTTTCCCACTGTGTGTGGTGGGTGTTTGTGCTGCCAGAGGCTTGTTCATGCTGGGAGCCAGTTTGCTCTGAAACAGCGAATGCTCCGATTTGGACAGAGATTTAGACATGGGAGCGTCTCTGTATTTCAGCCCTCCTTTCCCAAACGCGTGAGCTGGCTTGGCCATGTCATCGCACCACCTCGGCTCATACAGATGCATCTTCTTCTCGGCGTCGGTCAGGAAGGAGAGGTTCGTCAGAGATTTTTGCTTCCTCAGGTTGGAGAAGCCTCCGTCGGTCCCACCCTTGAACACCTTCAGCTCTCCGGTTCTGGCCATCGCTTGGGGTTTGCCCTTCTTCACGTTCTGCATTGCCTTCCCGTCCGCCTGTCGCTTGTAAAGCTTCACATCTTCCTGGCTTGGCTCGCACATGTCCGTCTCACAGCATTTGACATTGGCACCCAGCGCTTTGCTCATCTGTAATCATTCACGCGCCTATCTAGTCGGACAATGGGAATTCGAATGACTGCTGGCTGCTGTGCTCCACCGTGCCTTGCAGAACCAGTCTGGACAACACTCTGTGAAACAGCGGTTCCTCTGTTGTCCAGTCCTGCCTCACACAGCCCTGCTTGTTGCAGCGTCAGCTGGTAGATTGATCACCAGAGGAATGTCATTACTGAACGCCCTCCCCTCCTTCCAAGATGCTCTGGGCTAGGAAAGAAAAGGCTATTCCATCATTGCCACTAAAAGGGGGAAATCAGGGAGCAGCTTTCTGCTCATCCAAATTGCTGGTACTGAACAAATGTTTCTCACAGCTTCAGGAAAGGCATTATTTTCAAGAGCTGCTGGAGAATCAGCTCCCACAGCCACGTTAAATCAGCTTAATTAGCAGGAGAGGAAATGCTGGGAGTCTGGAGTGTTACATTGTGGGATGGACTCTCTCTCTCCTCTCTCTCTCTCTCAATATTCAGCCCACATCCCAAGTGTATCCCAGCTTCCTCTACTGCAGTAGCTGCTCCTTGCTGCCATGGCAGCAGACATCTCCATTTAAATAAAAATTAAAACGAGAGCAAAAAGATAAAGCCCACCCCTCCTATTTCAAACAGCACCACTAAATGTACAAGGGGAAAAAGAGGACAGACACAGGCAAAAAGCCCGTCCATATTATATTTAGCGATAGCTGAATACGCCAATTTACCCTGGTAAAACCTGTATGAAATAACTGCGAATTATTAATTTTAGAAAGTGCATACAAGGTTGGAAGGTACCACATCGTCCCTGGCAGTGGGTGGAAAGGCAGCTTTGTAAGCAATAGACAATTGCAATAGACATTTATATATTTAAAAAATCTGTCACCAGCTGAGACATTGTCTGCTTAATCGTTAGAAAACCTGCGATATTGACAGTGATAAACCTGCAGACCTGAGACCGTAGGGGCACAATCTCAATACGATTGCACACCTTCCTCAGTCACAGATAGGGATGTGCCCTTTTCACCATCTCCAAAAGTAGCACAGCTACTCCAACGTACCATTAATGCTTAATACAAAAAGCGAGAGAGAGAGAGAGGAGAGAGAGAAGAGAGGGAGAGGGGAAAACAATGGGGTTGTATGTGGCAAACAACAGCAAAGCTGATAACAGGAGAGGCACAGACCTCATAATAAGGCACTGCATCAAATGCAAGGATTATTATTACTATTAATAACGAAGACATTTACATTGTCCCCACTTCTTGCGCTTACATCCATCCATCCACCCACCCACTCATTCACTTCTTGTGTCAAACCACAAAGAGATCAGCTGCTTTTTTTTTAAAAAAAGGGTTTTTTGCACGGCAACCTGACTTAGATGGGAAGGTGAAAAGCACAAGGAAAATCTGCTAACTGAGCCAGTTTCAGCCATTGGTGTGTGAATAACGCAGAACAAAAGAGAAATTATTTCGAGGCAGGTTTACTCCTTATAATAGCCCATTATGAGACTGTGCCAAACAGTAATTATCTCTCGCTCAAAACAACTGCGCTTTGAAGATATCACCTTTCGAACCTTGTAGCGCAAAATGCAGAATACAACAATATGCAGTGTACGTGCTTTTGTTTTTGCTTTGTACACTGTAAAATTTTAATTAAAAACTGACAAAGCTCTTCACATATCTCATGCAAATATTAAACAAAAAGCTGACAAATTTTCGATTAATCTTATTCATTATTCAGTACCAGGGTGAAAATATCACAATAATAATAAAAAAAATGTGTTCACTCAATCCACTGCTGTTTGTGGGACACTGCTGTTGGCTATTGTGTGTCGCCCACAAAATATAGAGTCACTACACTTTACAGTATATTCTGTGAAGCGCTTTGAGGCGTCTCGAAGACATGATAAGGCGTGATATCAAAAGCAAGGATTATTATATTATTATATTACAATGAAAAAAAGCAAGTCTTATTTTACTGGTAAGTTTAAAAATAATATTCATTTGGTCACTCAATCAACGACTTTTGGTGGGACACTGCTGTGTGCAATTGGCTGCTGCGTTTCGTCCACAAAATGTACAACCGATTCAATTGTGAAGCGCTTTGAGAGTCTCAACGAAGTGATAAGGCATTATATGAAATGCAAGGATTATTATTATTATTATTATTATTAAATCCTGGCCAATAACCTCCTGAATAAAATGTGCTCACTCGCTTCATGCCCATTTGTGGGCATTGCTGTGTGCAAATTGGCTGGCCCATTCGCCTCCAATTACACAGTCACTACACTGTACAAAAACATCTAGATGACTTGATAGCGCACTGTTTCAAAATGCAAGGATTATTATGAGTATGGACTTGCTTGATCTGCAAGCTAACAGTATGTGGCATTTTGATGCGGACGGTAACAAGGAAATAGGTGTTATATTTGAACAGCATTTAACATATTTATTTTTAAAACTGCGCACTTGCCAATATTGCACGAGGGAAGATGTACGTAATGAAGCCTTTCCTCATCCTTTGATAGTTTATCTTCAACGAAGCAGGGACTGACGTATGGGCAGTAAACAATACAAGGAAGAGTTTGTCATTGTGTTTCCTGTGTTTAGGAGGAAATGTGAAGATCTCGAGGAGCTTCACAAATACACTTTGATCCTCGATCATTAACTTTTCTGCAGTGTATCTACGTTCGGAACCTCTTTAGGATATGTTTTGGGATCAGTTTAGTGAGAGCAGCCGGTGCAAAACTATGTAGACTTGTCGATTTTCACTCTATTTTAGAAACATGCAATGGAAGCCGGTTAAGCCGGACACATCGGGGTGGGGGCGGATGTTTTGTCCGGCTTAAGAGGCGTCCGAGGTTAGCCAAAATACCATTCCCGCCCAGCAGAGGAGTGGGGGTGGAGCTTCCTCCCTCCCATTTCCGGTCCCATTGGACGGGAAGGGGATCAATTAGCGGTGGTGTCGAGGTGATTGACAGTCTTGCAGCGCAATGTGAATCGATGAGCTCCACCCGTTCACAAGTGGCTCAGCTGTCAACCAATCCTGATATTCCCTCCCTTGTTCCACCCTGTTTATCTGCACCCCCCTCCCCCCGACTTACTGATTGACAGCCTAACTCCAGCCATTTGGGAATGACTCCTCTCATCTCCATCCCCGGAACCCCTTGTGGCTGAAGGCTCAACACACAGAAGGCCAGAGTGAGGACATTCAGCAGGGACTTGCACGACATTTTGCCCGGGATTAACCGGCATCTGGCTAAAACGGATTCCACTGTATTTCAAAACAACTGAGAGTTTTCTGCGCCCTGCTCACTTAACAGGTCTCCAGAGTTCCTCTACTTCACACTCCCCCACCAGTGACATTTTTAAAGCCTGCTGTCAGGCTTCACTAAATTTGCACCAGATGGAATTTTACCGCATATATTTTTTAGTGGCTTTTTAAACTTTCTATAAACGGTCATTAATAATCACATCTGCCAAATCTTTACTCAGGGGTGGGGGGGGGGGAGAGAGGGTGGGACAGGAACATCAAGCAGTCAGAAGGTAAACCTAATTGTGAATGAGTTCCTAGGTGCGCCTTTATTTTTTTCCTATTGCTTAATGAATATCAACTTCATTAAATTAACATGGCGACAACGCACAGACTTTTCAGTCAGAGACGCGCATCTTGTTAAGCCCTTAACCTTTTCTTATTTTGTTTAAGTGGAAAGATAGTTTTGCTGACAGATGCATAAGCAAATAGGATTATCATGTGCACCTAATGCTCCTGTTCCACCATAGTTAAGTGGTTTGAGATGCTACACCATGTGAAGGACGCATATAAATCTATCAATTGGAAAAAGGTTGCAAGCTATGGGGTAAAAGCGGGGAAGTGGGACTAGTTTCAAAGAGCCAGCATAGGCATAATGGGCTGAATGACCTCCTTCTGTGCTGTAGGAAGTTGTTGTTGTTGTTATCTTGGCTGGCCAGCACACAGCTGGCAATTAACAATTAAAGTTCAATCGCTTCCTGTTCAAAATAGCCATGTACGTAAGAATGGTGTTGGAAATCTCGGACCACTTTTTTTNAAAACCAAATCAAACCCTCAACAACAACAGCCACAAAATTACATTTGTACAGCGCCTTTCACTTCGGGAGGACGTCCCGAGGCGCTGGACAGACAAAGTTACAGACCCGAGCTGTGGGTCGGGGTGGGTTAGGGGGGCGGGCGGGGGGAGGGAAGCAGGGAGATCGAAAGCACGGTCGAAGAGGAGGGTCTTGAGGTGGGCCTTGAAGGTGGCGAGCGTGGGGGGGGTGGGGCGAGACGGAGGGACTGCGGGATGGAGTTCCAGAGGGTGGGTGCAGAGTGGCGGAAGGCCGATAGTGGGGCGAGGAAGGTGGGGGACGTGAAGCAGGCCAGAGCCCGCTGAGCGGAGGGAGCGAACAGGGTGGTTGATTAACTTAATCAATGGGCGTGATTCTGACATTAATGGCTCAGGTTGAAGTTCATCCAACTCGGCTTTGATTGGGAACAAAACTAGTTTAAATCTTGATGCAGCAAAAGCCAGCTGTAAATCAAAATGACAGCACAGTTTGTGTGCAGCAACACCTGACTGCTTATGTGGCAACTCCCGCTAAACTGTCACGACTGAAGGGAAAGACAGGTAAGATCCCTGACCGTTCTGCTTCACTAAGTTTTATTCTTACCTCGAGGTGTTAAAAAATGCAGTTCTGTGACAAGCTTATTCGGTTTGCAGTGCGCAAATTGGCTGCCGTGATCACCTACAAAATACACTGTCACTACATTTTAGGGTATATCGTGTGAAGCACTTTGAGACATCCTCCCGATGTACTAAATGCAAGAATTATTATGGAGGCCTTCAATTTTACAGTGGGAAGCAAATCCATGCCAGCTGTAAGGTAATGTTATTAAGTGACCTTCAAAGGTTTCTCTCGCTACCAAAATAGTGGTTTCGGGAAAAGCAGCAGGGATCTCAGCTTGTGCTGACCTACTTGATTTCTAGCTAACACAATGGCACTTCTGTGCCAACTTTCCTGGGCTAATGATGTAACTATCGGAATCTGATTTT